ATTTTTCCTATCTTAATGCAATGATACATAGCCCTCCTACGTATTCCAAGAAAAAAAAGTTGGTGTCTCGGAAGAAAAAAAATAACAATATTATAAATGGCCTAAAATCCTAAAAGTTGGCATGAGCACATAATATGGGCGTATCAACTTTATATAAAAATTTCAAATTATTTTGATAATTTGGGACTATACATTGTTCCCAAATAGATATATCTCACACATAGTCTCCTATAACTATACATCTTTCACTTAGCCGTATAACTATGTGCGAGTTATATCCATTTATGAATAATGTGCAATATTGCTTTGTTAAAATCATTTGAATTTTTTATACAACAATTGTATACTAAAATTATATCGTCATGGAAGTTTGTAGATTTTTCTAATCAAATTTACATATTATTATATTTATTCAATGGTAATTCAACAAATAATTACAATAATTACTAAACTTGGTCAGAAAATTCTTCAAATTGACACAACAACATATTTTGGATCTATAAGTATTGCATAAAAATTCCATGCAATTTTAATAAAGTGATACTATGCATCCTTCACAAATATAAACATCTCTCACTTAGCCACATAACTCTATAAGAGATCTATCTATTTTGGGATAGTAAACGATTTTGGGATAGTACACAACTTCAAATGAAAAAGTTGTCAACAACAAACTTGTTGAACCCATCGAGATCTATAACTTTTGTTTTAGTCATTTCTCCATCAAACTTTGTTTCAACAATTCAAAATTTGAATTTCAAATTTTGAAAAATTCAAATAGAATTTTGGGCTAGTAAATGGTTTCAAATGAAAAACTCATCAACAACAAAATTGAAGAACTCATCGAGATTTACAACTTTGGTTTTGATCACTTTTTCATCCAAGTTCATTTGAGCAATTCAAAATTTAATATGGTTATTTTCATGTGTATAAGTATAAGTAACCAGTAACACTATAAACTACGTATGAACACAAAATGAAGGAAATGGACATGGTCAATTAGTTATGATTTTCATGGTAATAATTTTTTTATGATGTGGTTTGGTCCCGTGTACATATACAAACTTCTTTATTTGCAGTGTACCATGAACACCTGCGTGGTGCATTGGTCAGTAGCTTGGTTTCCAGCCTACGAGTCACAGGTTCGGTTCCTGATGAAGGCGTCACTTGTTTTTTCTCCTTTTTTTTTTTTTTTTGAGGCCATCTGCTGCAACAGTATTGAGCTAGCCCGCTGCAACAGTGTCAGCAAAAATAAAAAGAGATGAACCGTGCATGGAAAAAAAAAAAGATGGGCCGGCGGTGCTGCGTGAGTTGAAGTAAAGGCCGTCAATGAACTGTTGTCTGAGGAGGTTTGCGAACTGCTAGGAAGTGTTGTGCTTGTATACAAAATGATAGAATAAACTATTTCGAAACTTACAAATCAATGGTGCAGCGGTAAGGCCCAATGGTGGTGTTCGGTAGGTGCTGTGTTCGAAGCCGTGCTGTTGCGTAATTATTTTTCCCCATTTGTTATTTAACCTGTTAGTTTTTTTTCAATTTGTTATTTAACCTATTTGCCCCCATGCGCACCATATAAATGTAAAATATTTTTAGTTTTACTCATATACATGCAAAATATTTTTAGTTTTACTCATATACATGCAAAATATTTTTAGTTTTACCGTCTGCACCCAAAAGCCTATATACATGCAAAAATGTAATAAAATTATTTGGTTCATGATAATTAGAAAAATAAGAGGTACCTATTTGGTTCATGATTATTTTCTTTATACTAAATATATGATAGCGGGCCTATTGTTTTGGGCTAACTAGATAATGACAAATTTAAAATCATACACTGTGACGATCCGGATAAAACCGTCACAAGTTAGCGGGCCAGGAATATCCATTGGTGCACATCTATGACGGAAAAAATTATCGTCACAGATTGTGTCTGTTAGTGATGGTTTGTAAATCTGTCACCGAGAATCCGTCACAGAGTAACAAGTTTCTTGTAGTGGGAGAAGCTATTTTCCAGTAAATAGTATAGGAGCCGGAGTTGTTTTTTGTTTAAAGGATGAGCATGTAATTTGTGGCTCCTCCTTAAGTGCTCCCACTCCTCCAGGGAAACATCCGGGGAAGAGCCATGCCAAACAAACCCTTAGTCATCGTCATATTTCCTTTTCCGAAGCAGTGAACCAGATGACATTTCAAAATCTGAATCTCCTTGGCCTTGATATCGTTCACTGCATTTACAACAGCAAATTTCAAAATTATACGGTACTGTAATAAGCAAGAATCTTAACGCCACACACAGAGCAACACATGGGTGATGGGTGAACAACCAAAACTAGTAATAATCCACATGCATGGATGAGTACTGTATCTGTATAAACCAAACACCAATAGTGTAAGCAAGAGTCTACATGCCGTGCATGCTTCTGACTTCTGAGACTGATAATGCAACAACATGAACATGCAGACGGAAAATGCCTGGATAAAAACAAATTGCAGACATCATGAGCTCGTAATTAGATTACCTTGCGCTACCATACAGCTTCAGATACTTGGGGAGCTCAGAAGAAATGAAGGGCTGGAAGTACCGGTATTTAAACTTGATATATTTGACATCCATATCCATAGGAGAGAGGTTTTCTTCTTTCCCGTTGATGTATTGACATGATGACATCACAGTCATGTTGGCCATGTCAATGGTAACCAACCATGTGTCATCGTAGCTGTAACCAGTCTCCGCACTCCCTTTTTCTTCTCTCAACACAAAGCACATGGTGCTCGGGTTAGCCATGCTGACGACAGGGAATTCCAACGGAATGCGCGGGAGACGTTGTGCAAAGTCGTCAAGCTTCCAGAGATCATCAGAATCGAGCAGAGAATCAATAGCCCAAGACATGTTTGATTCATCAGTTATCTTCATGGTCCAGGAGGTGAGCTTGAAACCGGAAGCAGGCGTGAATCTTTCATTAATTAATTATCTGGCCGTCGCCTTGGACGAACATAGCGAACTTGATGAGACCATGGTCCTCATTGACAGATACAACCTGGTACAGTTCCGCCACTGATCCGCCATGGAGAGCGCGGTCAAGGTTAGGAAGTTTGTCAGGGAATGGTATGTACTGGAGCTGAGAGCTGGCATCAAACACATCGCAGAGCAAAATCCCACCAATGCAGTAGTCAACCCAGCACAGGTAGCTCCCTACGGCCACGACAATGTCAGTGCACCAATTGAACACCAAGGTCTCCAAATCTAGCTCACTGTCACGGAAGTCAATCTTGGGATGCCTGACCTGCCATCGGCCAGAGCTAGACGGGCAGAGCACATGAAGCTCAACCTGGTCCTCCGCGAACCTGTCGATTTGCAGCTCCGCCAAGGCGGAGTCGTCCCTGCCGCGGCGCAGGACGCCCATGTCCAGGCCGTCAAGCCTGCGAAGGCGCTGCCTCGTGTAGACGAATTCCCCCGCCCTGAACAGGGCCTGGAATTCGGCCATGGTGCCGTCGACGGAGGGGAACCGCTCCAGCGACGGGCGGCGGGAGCCGTCGCCGGCCGTGTAGAGGAAGTAGTCGTACAGGTCGGCGAACTCGCGGCCGTGCACGGGGATGGGATAGATCATCTGGAGGAGCACGGCATCGCGGTGGGCGGAGATGACGAAGAAGCGGTCGAATTCGGCCTTGCCGCCCGGCCAGCACAGGTAGAAGCGGGACGGCCGCGGCGGCTCGCGGAGCTGGAAGCAGACGCGGACCTCGTCGCCCCTGGAGTTGGTGCAGGACGCCTCGGTGGGCTCGCCGGTGGGGAAGGAATCGCGGAAGACGTAGCGATCGATTATGACCCAGTCGGGGAGGGAGGAGGGGAAGCAGCTCGTGGCCGCCCGGTCCATCGTCATCGTCTCGTTGGTGTGGCGGTACCTCCCTCGATCGACCAAAACACCTCTTTCCACTTTTAAAATAGTTCGTCTTACCTGGCTCCGTTATAAACGGTTTTCAAGGCGATTTTGTATTTATTTATTTATTTATTTTAACTAAATCTTTAAAAAATCATAAAAAATCATAGAAAAATCATAAAATGAAAAATCTAATTTTGTTGGACTCCACATGAGTAGGTCTATACAGTGAACATATAATATAATATGGTATGCTTTAGTACAAAGTTTTTGCTATGACTTTAGATCTATGTTTTTCTGTAATTAAATGGAATAATTTATAACTGTAGTTTCTATGGTCTAATTATGGTGAATTTTTTATGATGGGCTAATTATTGTATGTTTAAACTGTAGTAAAAATTTCATAATCATTGGATTATGTATAACTTACTTATAGATTTTATTTAGGTTTATTCTTGTTAAATATAAATAAATATATAACTAAGCTATACATGATCGAATGAGTATGAAATTTTTACTACAGTTCAATCATACAATAATTAGTTCATCATAAAAATTTCTTCACAATTGGACCATAGAACTGTAGCTATGAATTATTCCAATTAATTACATAAAAGCATATATCTAAAATCACAACAAAAACTTTATACTAAAGCATACCATATTATATATTCACTGTGTAGATTTACTCATGTGGAGTCCAACAAAATTTGATTTTCCATTTTATGATTTTTCTATGATTTATTATGTTTTTTCAAAGATTTAACCGAAATAAATAAAAAAGAAAAAGATAAAACTTTCAAAACTGCTTATAACAGGGCTAGGGAGGTAAGATAAATGGTTTTAAAATTTGAGAGAGATGTTTTGCCCGGTTTTAAGGTTTAGGAAGGAAAAATGGACTTTCGCGAAAGTTGATGCGGTAATGTGACTTTTTCCCCGATTATAACTAACTTCACTGAGAGTTGAGATGGTCTGGGCCGTGCTGTCAAGTTGGGCTGGGCGAGGTCCGATTACTCCTAACTGTTACTCATAGCCAAAGCCCACCCGTGGCCCACGCACACGACGACCCAAGACGACCCCACTTCGACCTGGAGCTGGAAGGAACTGCAACCAACAGCAACAGCAATGGAGGACACGACGTCCCAAGACGCGGCGGCGGCCGCCGCGGAGCAGGAGAGGCAGAGGCCTCCCTCGGCGCTGGCCTTGAGAAGCCTCGCTGACTACGCCACTGGGGCTATCCCAACCCTCTTCTACGTCCCCAACTTCATCTCCCACTCCGAGCAATCCCAGCTCCTCCACAATGTACTGCACCCACCAAATCCCGTCTCTTTTTATTCGTTTGCCTTTTTTCCCTCTGTTTCTCTCGATCCTACTGTATTTGACGCGGCAGCGGTGACTTCTTTGACGCAGATTTACCAGGCACCGGCGCCCAAGTGGAAAACCCTCAAGAACCGGAGGCTACAGAACTGGGGTACTCTTTGTTTTCTTGGCACTTGGTGGTGTTAGCTTAGGGATTGCTTTAGCTTCTTCCTTTCCTTGACACGGCGTTGGATTGTGCAGGAGGAGTGGTGCATGAGAAGGGGCTCCTGCCGCAGACCCGTGAGTGCTCATAAATGCTTGCAATTTTTTAGCTTGGTTTTTTGAATCAAACTGAAGATCAGACATAGCATTGCATAACTGAAGTTTGTCCCTTAATGTTAATTTTGGTTCCAATGTGCTTGGTTTGAAACGCCTTCTCATGTTCATATTCAAAGACTGGTAGGTATGCTTGAAGAATAAGATTTTGCTACAATGCGATTGCCAGTGGAACTGTGGGAAGGTCACCAAGTAGTTGGCACTTTTACAGGATAGGATAACTAACACTATATTGAGTTGCTGCTTCAACAGCACTTGCCACTTGCTTGTTAGTGAGATGTCTTGTTAATTTTTGTACAAACCACAAGTCCCACATGATGATCATCATAAACCAGTTATGTAATATCTTGTCTAGCTTACTTGCTTAGCTTAAGCTTTCGTAGCAAGTAACACTCTCAAGGGCTTCATCTTGTGAACCATCATAACTGTGTTCCGCTTGTTTTAGAAAATCTGAGACACCTGGTAGTTACGGCTTAGGCTTAGAAGCTGAGATAATTAGTTATCACCTTGCTTGACTTAGATCCAGCTTTAAGTGCATCATAACTTGAAGCTACTCAAAGGTCTTCATAACTGTTAGGAAGTCAGTCAAGGCTGGATGTTTGTTTGAATATTAGATACGGATTCAGAGAGGTTTACTCCCTCCAAGTTAGAAAAACAAAGAATGGTATGTATTTTATGGTATTTTTGGGTCAGTCTATGATAAAGTATTTATGACCTTTCTTCTTTAACTAGTATAATGCCCGTGCGTTGCAACGGGAAAAAATATACCACAATAATTCGAATATGAACGTGTGATATACTATTAAAAAAGCGATACTTTTAAGCGTCACGTTTCACAGCATTCATTTGTAACCAATCATAATATTACATGGGTTTTCACAAAACATGGATAATTTCAAGTTACAAAAAAGCTACTTCTTCCTTGTACAAAAAAACCTGCTTCTTGGGGTAGACAGTTGTCTTACTTCATTGCTTCCGTCACAGCAAGGAAGCTACACTTCACTTGTGATCATCACCAACAAATCAACCACCTCTACATCCTAAAGTACGTAGATTATGTTGCTCTCTGGAGACAAACAAGTGATCTTCGGAGGGCACATCAATCATGTGCTGGTTGACATAACTCACAATACCCAGTAGTGCATATACTGTTTGGACAATGAAGTATGTTTAATGTGAATAAATCAAGCATATACCAATCAAAATATATTTATCTCAACAGATTTATCTCAGATCAAAACTGTGAACAATGTCTAAAAAAACATTATCATATCAGTACGCATAAGTTTCCGAACTGAACAAAATATTGATTTATTGCACATGAGATGTGAGTCTTCTAGACAAGATTATAGTAAAATTCAAGAGTTAGGCTCTGTGATATCTTATAATAGTTTAGTAACAAAATAATTGGGCAAACAGACTTCAAAGGATGTTGTGACCTTGAGCCTTTTCTTCCAGCTGCTCCATAGAGATTCAGATAACTGCCAGAGAGAACAAGCATGCATTGATACGAGAACATGACACCACCCAAATAGAATCTAAAACTATGTCAGACTTCAGTTTCTCCTGCTTCAGCGCCTTCCAGCTAATGTCTTGCTACCCCGGCTCATTTCTAAATACGAAAGGCATTAGCTCCATTAATCAAAGAGATTGAACGATGTCTGAAAGACTGAATTAAATATCTGAAAGTCTGAATCCATTGCCAGGTAGTGAGCGGTGGAATAAACATATGTTTAGTGGTGATATATTTGCCATATCAACATAGTACCTTTTTCTTGTTTTTGAGAATAAAAGATCTAAACTGGAAGAAGTCTCTTCGGTCCCTCAGTCTCTAAATATCACAAAAAAAAAAATGTTTGAAGTGCCCAACTGTACCAAATTTTATTGTTATATGAAACTCAAGTTCACAAAACAACATACAACAAATCCTCACCTGGTACTGTTTGTGGTCAGCAGAGGGAGTCTACAAGCTGAGCCAATGACTGTGGGAACTGAAATGGGCACAACGTACTAATACTGTGAACAAACTGTGGGAGAGATCATATCAAACTCTACTACCAGGTTAAGCTAGCAGCATAGGTAATCTATGTTTCCTGATCTCTGCCTAAATAATGTTGAAGGGCTCCAAGAAACGGTTTAGGGAATCTGCAACAGATTTTAGGAAATAAACGCTATAGTTATTAGCTAAGGATCATGGATCCGTAGGTTTTTTGAGAAAAAAAATCATGGATCCCTAGGCATACATGCACACACTGAATTTGTGTAAATAGCAACATCATGTAGCATGAACCTCTCAGCAGGTAGCAAAAAGAAACAGTCATAAACCTACCTGCAGCTGACCTATCAAAAGTTTATAGATGATTACTTGTACACATTCACAGATGAAAGTTAAAATCGATTATTATTTTAAGAACCATTTCAGGCTAAGGCTATTGGGCAGGACATGGTTATATGATTTTGTTTTTCTGAACACAGAAAGAAATGTGACAAACATGGCAGTCAAGCAACAAGAGCTAAATGAAAGGTTCTTAGCCTGACATGACATGAAGAGCCAGTGAACCAAAACCACGGCACAACAGCACAGCTAACTAAAAAAATGACTTTTATGTTCAGTACAGCTTCTTTTATTTTATTAATATAAAAGCTTACAGTGGGGGCTTCCTCTGCTGTACTATTTCCAAAAAAAAATCCTATTTTTGCAGCAGTGTTGATCCGCCATGAAATTTTATACTGGGAGGGATTACATGTTGCAAAGGATGTCATGACCGTCGTATGTGAATACAAAAATAGCGGCGGCGCTGCGCAACACAACCACAGACACAATCTCTTAGCAAAAGCCAATTGAATCAAATCTCATACAGGCTTGCCACAAAGGAACACAATTGTTGTTTCGTTAGAAGAGTTCGAGTCTGGAAAAACTAAGTTGTGTCCGTGTGTGTGGGATACCTTGTCGAGCAAGAGCTTCAGCACCTCGATCTCAAGTACCGGATTGGACTGCATTTTATACGAGGCCTGAGCAACACAGACTCATCACCACCGTAGCATCAGGAAGAGCGAGGATGCCGGAGGAACACAAAATCGTCACCAGCCACCACAACATTAGGAAGAGCGAGGGCAATTGGGAGAAGAGCAAGCGAGGACCATGGGGCAGACTCGCAGGTATCAGGGTGAGGGAGATTGGGATGTGGGAAGGCGGCGAGATAAAAGGAAGAGGTGGCACAGTGGCAAGCTCGACGGAAGATGAGATCCTAAGAGAAGGGTGGCATACCTATTGGGCGCTGTCGCCAAGGCTCGCGTCTGGCCTGCGGCGCGGCAGCGTCTGGGTTGACGAGGCAGGCGCGGTCCAGCGGCGTCAGCGAGGCAGTTCGTGGAGGCTGCGGAGTGTCCGGCGGCGGGACAGGGAGATTTCTTTTTCACGAGCAGTTTGTGGAGGCGGCGGAGCGTCTGGCGGTGTCGAGGCGGCGGAGCGTCCGGCGGCAGCCCGTACAGCGGTGGCGCGTCGGGGCTGATGAGGCAGGGGCGGCGGCGCCGGGGCAGCGAGATTTTTTTTTCACGGGCTTTCTTTCCACGGGCACGAGAGGGAGGCTGAACGATTGCCGGGGAGGCGGGGAGTGGCATGGTGCAGGGTGCGGAGAAATAATTGTTCTGGGAGTGGCATTCAGCAGGGTGGGAAAGACACCGTAGTGGCATAACATGGAGTGGGGGGCTTTGGTCCTACCGGGTAGACCTGGACATTTGCCGCTTTTTAGTTGTAGAGATTGTTTCAGTTAGCAGATTGTAACCTTGAGAACACTATTACTTGTTTTCCTACCTTCTGAAAATACTGAATCTAGCACAACACAGAGATTGAATTTTTGAGTGCCTGCTATGCCATAATCTTATTCTAATTGATGTCTGTACTGAACGCAACAGTGATACATTTCTTGATTGGTGGCTAACATGCCTACTAGTTGCATTCTAATATGTGTGCTTTTATAAATTATACTCAAGTGCATATCAATTTTAGCATGAAATTGAGATTCACAGCATCTAATGCTGCAGTACCTTCATGGCTAACAAGGATAACCGACAGAATCTGCCAGTGGACGGGTTTATTTCCTTCTGCAATCAATCATGTGCTGATAAATGAGTATCATCCTAATCAAGGGATCATGGTTTGCAATTGACAGACCTCTGTTTACATTTAAGCATCGCCCTTTGCTTACAAATAACGAATTTTGTGCCTTCCAGCCACACCAAGATGGTCCTGCCTACTACCCTGTTGTTGCTATCATATCTCTTGCTTCACCTGTTGTGATTGATTTCACACCCCATCAAAGGCTTAAAGAGCAGCAGGACACTGATCCACAGGACTTACATGCCCATGGGTTGCCGGCGCCAGCTGAGACGGAGAGCAATGGCTCTGGCTCACATGAACGTGGAGCCACAAATGAATCTGATCCTTCATCTTCATCACTTATGCTGATGCCCTGCAGCCTGTTGGTATTTAAGGATCAGGCTTATACAGGTTAGATAGATCTTGCAATTGTTTTCTACTGGGATAGCCAATTAACCATCTTTATTCAATCGTAGTTTTCATTGTATCTTTTTGTTTTTTTTCTCTCTACAGACTACTTGCATGGCATACAAGATAATGAGCTACATAATCTGGACAAGGTGAAACAATGATTGAACATCAGTAAATCACTTGTGCATGATGAGCATCTGAACTTGTTCTGAGTGCAATAAAATTGGCATTGTACAGGTCGAGAATGTGTCGCAGTGCCCAGAACTGAAGCATCTACATTCGGACTCTATCCTGGGGAGCATGAGCATGGATGAGCAGCGTGGCACGTTCCGTAGGACCGCCACAAGAGTCTCGCTAACGTGTCGGTTGGTGCTGAAAGTCCACAAAAAGCTATTCAAAATCTAGAAATTCTGATTATAGCCTTGTTTTAGAATAGGACTACCAGTATGCTATGTAAGATACATATAGGTATTGTGTGGGAGTTGTTTGGTCAGCATGGTGTCCACAAAACAAAACACAAAAGGAAAAAAAACTAAAAAAGCGTTTTCTGGTCAAGAATCCCAAAGAGCTGTTGAGCACAGTTTCTTAGAAATCGACCAGGAAGGACGGGAAGGAACAAGAAACCGCTGGGTATGATGTACGCGTACGAGATGATGCTGTTTACCGTGTCGTATACGGTGTGCGTGCAGCTGCCTTTCGCAGTCTGAAACGGCCGGCCAGCAAACCGAGTTATACTTCAGTGGAAGTCTGTCGTGGGCTGGGCCTGACTCCATACTTGTTGGCCTGTTAGCCTGCTGGCAGCTACTTGCTTTCAGCGAGCTAGCTCAAGCTGCTTAACGCCCTGTTTCAGCTTCTTAGACTCGCGTATAATGTGAGCACGATTTTCTAATAAGTTGTGGTCTAAGCATGAAAAAAATCAAGGTGTTTGGCAATCTTGATTATCATAGCAGTGTTGAGTGTAAAAAGAGGTTTACGTAGCTAGTTTAATTTCTGTGTGTGATATATGCAGGTTCCTTCAACAGCGCCTGCTTAAACCTCAACCTCAGCCACCCAAGGGCATACCGGACAGTAAGCCGGCTAGCCGCCCCTCTCATTCCGTCGTCTTCCGGACGTACGGTAAGCTGTGCCCCAGGATCGAGCATGAGCCATCATCTTATATATATTGCGCTGCTCTCTCTATCGCCTTGTTGGATGCGCGGGCGCGCGTGCAGTCTGCTCCGTCGTGAGCTGCGGAGCCGGCGGCGCCCCGTTGAGCTTCAGCTACAGCTGCGAGTGCCGGCCGGGCTACTCCAACCTGCTCAACCTCACCACGCTCCCCTGCGTCAACTGTATGATGACCCGAGTAGCCTGAGTAGTATTAGCTTATTCTCTTCTGCTTATTATATATGTTTTGCTTTGCCTGCCGGCTGCCGCGCCGCGCAGGTTTCCTCGGCGACGAGTGCCACGCCCTGGGACTCGGCCCCCCGGCGCCGGCTCCGGCTCCATCCGGTGATCACGGCCCGTCGCCACCGGGGCCATCTGCTCCTCCCTCCGGCACAAAAGGCAATGCAACAGATGATTCACTAGGGCCGTGTTTAGATCACCACTAAATTCCAAGTTTTTTTCTCTCTCTTCATTACGTCAATTTTTGGACGCATGCATGAAGCATTAAATGTAGATAAAAAAAATAACTAATTACACAGTTTGGTTGTAAATCACGAGACGGATCTTTTAAGCCTAGTTAGTCCATGATCGGACAAAGTTTGTCAAATCTGAACGAAGCGTCTTCTGATGTCAGGGTTGCAAAATTTGCAATCTAAACGAGGCCTAGGTTCAGCTTCTTTGTTTTTTTTTTTTTTGAATTAATTGTTTCGGACCTTGTTGGCGCGCGATGGCGTGCACAGCACCGAGTCGTGCACTCAAACTACAAGCGTACGTACGTGTACATTGTTGATGAGCCGAGTACCTGATTCTTTGCTGCCATTGCTGTGTGCGTTTGCATCGCAGGATCCGTTTCGTCCCCAAGTCTTCTGCAGCTGCTACTACTGATGCTGGTCTCCGTCGCTATGGTCCAGGTCGTGTGATTACGTTACATTACGTTACAAGGTCTTTCTTCCCCACGAGATTTGCTGCGAAACAGAAAATCAACCAACTTGTCACCTTCACGATGTGTATTTCACGATTTCTTTTTGTACGTCCTTGCGAGTGCTACTCATCAAGTTATACTTTAGGTTTTAGAATTTTTTATAAAGATACTATGAAATGTATATCCTTGTGTTGCTACCGGGAAGCCGGAAAGGCATATATATATATATATATATATATATATATATATATATATATATATATATATATACAGCATGCAAGAAAGTACTCATATATCACAGTATAATTTGTGTTCGTGTTGATAAACATGCATGTTTATTACTTATATACAAAAGTGTGATGTGTGTTTGTACCTTTTCATGCTTTTTAGACAAGTATAAAAGAGTATGTGGAAAAAACTGGATACGGTGAATTCAAACACACTCACCATACCGCTACGAGGGAAAATAGGAGTACTCACGTTAAGTCAAGAACTTAAACTCTGGTGTGTATTCTACCATAAGGAAACTAACCAATTGACCTATATTCAGTTATCCCTCAAATAATCCATTGTGTATTGCATTATTCTAAGAGAGTAAATATATATGTATATATGGGAGGGACTTGGAGTGCAAAGAGTTCGTACTAGTCTAATTCTATTTTCCCTTTAGGTTCTCTAGAGTTTGTATACATCTACAATTATCTTCATATTGTGAGTCAAAAAAGGAATATGATAGAGACTTAGTCTCATTTCCTTGTTCCGTGTTTTGTACTCCGTTTGATGGATTGTAGTCTAAGTACGGCGCGTCTGTTATAAATAGCTATACTCATTCGTTCGCCTATGAAAGTTAGATGCTTCTTGTATTCCTTTTTTGTCAAAAAAAAAGTAAGGTTCACTTGATATATACTCTATGTAAGATTCACTTGATATATAAGTTCACACAAGAAACCAAATACATATACATTATTGAAAGTAGCACAATCCGTATGAAGCACCACTAACTTTATTACACCAAAACATGACAAGGATTTTTATTTCTTATTCCTCATTGCTTAAGTAACCATGTGGCAGCATAGTGTCATAACACAAACAGTTCCCCTCAGAAAGTTCTATGGGTGGCCACTGCCAGTACTCCTAGACCCACTCCCTGAGCCACTTCCATATCCACTGCCACCTGCACCACTTCCTCCACCCCCACCACCATGGCCACCGGCTTGAGTGTATCCACCACCATAACGACTATATCCGCCAGCCTGCCCATACCCAGAGCCAGCACCGGAACCTTGTCCTAACCCTCCATTCTATCCTCCGCCGCCACCTCCACCCTGGTCACCTCCCTGAGCATAGCCTCCTCCATAAGGACCATATCCACCAGCCTGACCATACCAAGAACCTGAGCCAGACCCAGACCCAGACCCTCCATATTGTCCTCCACCGCCACCTCCACCCTGGCCGCCTCCTGAGCATATGCCCCACCATTGGACCCATACCCACCGGCTTGACCGTACCAAAAAAGCTGAGCCATAACCTAATCCAAAGCCCCCATACTGTCCTCCACCGCCACCTCCGCCCTGACCGCCTCCCTGAGCATATGCTCCGCCATTAGACCCATACCCACCAGCTTCACTGTAACTAGAACCGGAACCAGAACCATATCCGGACCCACCGTCTTGCCCACCACCACCACCTCCCCCTCCACCACCACTGTTGTAACACCCTAAAATTTGTAACATTTCAAAATAGGAGAATTTGATTTATTATGCATTTTTGTGGGCATTTGAATTTAGAAAAATAATAATTTTGCTGAAATTAAAATCAAATATAGGTTTACAATCATGTGTGTGCATTCATGCTGCTGAATATTGTTTTTGTATTGTGTGATTTGAAATCAAATTTCAAATTGATTTGAATTTGCATTCAAAATTGGGTTTGAAAATTTGAAAAGAAAATAGAAAAGGATTTCTCTTCTCTCTTTGGATTTATTACGATGGCTGCTGCTTTCCCCGCTGCCCGACCACCCGCTCGGCCTTCCCTCTCCCCCCTTGCAGTGAAGCCAGGGCGACCAGGTTCTTCGCGCCACGCCCGCGCCTCTTCTCTCCTTCCTTCCTCTGACAGCCGGGCCCCATATGTCAGCGTTGTCTTCCTCCATGCCGTATCCAGGACGGACTCCACCGTCGCCACCCGACTCTGCACCACCCACACTTCCCCTTCGTTGCCTTGTCAGTCCAAGCCGCCTCCCCGCCTCATAAATACCTAGCCAGTGCCATGCCTCCAACACAGAGCTCGGCCGTCAGTAGCCACCCCTTGCCGAGGCAGAGCTGTGAGACCTGAACCACCACCAACGCCCGCTGCCTCACCATGCGCCACATCGTCTTCGTCCACTCCGCGCCTTGCTAAGGTACCCAGACAGTTAATCGTCGTATCCTCTAGCTTCTCGTGCCTTTACTTCATTCAATGGTGATCCAGTGGACCGAAATCGACGGCGCCATCGCCATGGCCATCCATGCCGCGCTTATGTTGCTCACCGATCGCCACCCTTCTCTCTCTCTCCTCTAATCTAATCTTAGCCGTCCAAAGGCGGATCAATGTGATGAGCCGATACCCTTAAATGTATATTTTGCAAAAAAACCCTTACAACTATTTAGATCTCAACTGCAGGTCCTTGTATATTTTCTAAAGAGCCTTTGGGTTTTTGTTTATAGAACCCATAGTCCAATGTGCAAATTTAGAATAAGTTTTCTTCTATGGAAAGCATAGTTTCTTCGGTTTAGATCCAAAATACGTTTTCACCTATTTACAGTTTGCCGCTAATCTTCTTTTAGCCATAAAATCTCCGTTTTAACTCCAATTTGATCCGTTCAACTTGCGTTGGGTTCGTAATTCCATAATCTACATGTTCATACTACTGTTAAGTAGATTTTCAAATTTTAAAATTTGAGGTTAATATTTAATCTATTATTTTACTAAAGGAAATCTTGTTTAATTCATAACTTCTTCGTTTTAGCTCCGATTTTTGTGATCTTCGTGTTTGTGTGTTCGTAGTGAGACGTAGATTCGTTTTACAAACTTTTTATCTTGATTTTATGATGTTTGGTGTACTATTCTAATCTATAGTTTTTGTTTGCTATGCATGATTGCTTCTGGATGCTTGTATGTTGCTGTGATTATCGAGTATGGACGGTGAGCAATTCGTGGGAGACCAAGAGTACTACTTGGACGAGCAAGGACAGCAGGAGTACTTTGTTCAAGGCAAGTATAGCATGGGATCATCCTTGTTTCCTATTCACTTTAATACATTAAATTCATGTTGCATGTGTCACCTTGATAGGGATTCCCTAGAATTGAACTTATACCTTGTCATCTACGGGATATGCATTGGGTAGCTTTGCTAGTGCTCAATTAAACCATGATCTTGTAACTTGACTAATGGTATATGCAATAAACATTAAAATATGACTTTTTAGCAACTTGAAAACAGGCGGCTGGAGTGTTTAGCTACTTTCTAAATACTTCAGATTCCTCTCCCTAAGGACTTATCTGTAAGTGATCATCCGGTTCTTCTGATCACAATTTGTCGAGGGCTATGTGGCTCGGCTTTAGCTCGATGTGAGGACCTTTTCTAACTTGTTAGAGGTTACCTTTATAGCGCAAGAGAGGTGTGTTCCGAGTTGGATATAGTCGCCCTCTGTCCATCAATGTATAGGCTGCATGTCATTGTGCTGTCGGAAGGGGAGCCCTACATTAAGTATGCCACGAGAAACCTAGCGGCCCTAACTTTTAGACGAACCTTTGAAAGGCTTTATAGTGACTCTGCACCTTACCTTGAAAGTGTTTTGGGAGTAATTAACTTGGGGCATATGGGTATCACGACTCATAGTGAAAGTGTACAACCTCTCACAGTGTAAAACTAGTATATCACCAGTGCTCATAGTCACGACGAAGAAGCCAATGAGAGGAGAAGACTTGGTGAGTTACAAGCCAAGCTAGAAGACATGAAAATCAAGGAAGTAGCTCTCAAGGCCAATAAATTAAGCAATCAAGGCACCTCCAACAAAGTGAAGGGCAAGCAAGCAAGTATCAACAAGTCATTAAGGAAATCAAGTCAACTCCACAAAATGATGATCAAGTTTATCCTCAAGTGAAGATGAAGATGATGGGGCTGATTACATGAAGATTGATGACATGGCTTTGTTCATGAAGAACTATCACAAGGGCTGAAAAGGAATGGGTATAAAATAGTGCAAAGAAGGTTCCCAAACAAGAAGAAGAGGACTTGCTACAATTGTGGTAGCACCCCGAGCATTTCATTGCTAAGTGTCCCTATGAGAAGAAAGACAACAAATACAAGAGGGACAACAATGAAGGCAAGCATGAACACAAAAAGAGATATAAGCAAATGGGAGAGGCACACATTGGGCATGAGTGGGACTCAACTAAGGAGTCAAGTGATGAGGATGTGAAGGTTGCAACCGTGGCCATTCAAAAGCCATCCTCTACACCAAGGCTCTTCAACAACATGTTCGATGATGATGACCACCACACCACTCACATTTGTCTTATGGCAAGGGTGAGAAGGTAAAACGAAGAGCCAAATCTGCTGGTGGCAAAGTTGAACAACCAAAGAGGCCGCAATACAAAGATGGAAGAAATCCACACATCAAGGATGGGCTTAGGCACACTCATGGAGGTAAAACCAATAAGAGAAAGGTAATTAATGGATATGAGTGTGTTCCAGTTCATAAGCAAAGGGCGGGAAGGTATAGATAGAGTACACTGAGATGGTGGCACAAGAGCCCGACCAAAAGCAACACCGTAGCCTATGGGCGGCGGTGCATGCTGTGGTGAAGCAGCATGCCACCACAGAAAAGGAAGACCACCTCCTCCTCCTCTGCTCATGTCAAGCCTAAGAAGAAGGTGTCTCATCCCAGCGGAGTTGTCTAGAAACCAAAGAAATCTATCTAGGTCACTCCAAATAGATATGCTTATCAACCAAAGGCA